AAAAAAAGGGACCTGAAGGATAGTTACATGGGTGTGTTACCTTTGTGATCATTAATTAAGTTGTAAGCAGATGTCTCTACACGTTTTTATATGTATGTTATTTTTCTACCCACTCCCACATGCTTGTTCCTTGGAAGCTTTGATTTTGCAGGGACATAATTCCCCTACTTCAAATAAAGAGCTTTTTCTAATCACTGAATCTGTTTCTACACCCAAATAGATCCCTAAAAACCATGGTGCAGAAGGGAGGACTCCACCCCAACCCCATCTCCAACTGTTGGTCTCAGTACATTCCAAATTCAGCAGCCTATACTCCAAGTTCACAACCCCCTAATTACATCAGAGGAATACAGGTTCTTATCTCTCCGTATCACACCACCTGCTGCTTTCCAAATTGCATTCTGAGTTTCAAATAGGAAGTATGATCTCAGCAGAGGTCAGAGTGAGTCATACAACCTAGACTAGTACTGTTTTTGTCAATAAAATGTTATGATAATCAACTGGTCACAATCAATCAGCATTCATATTAATCACTAGCAATACTAACATGCTTCCATAAGCATGGAAGATAAGCTGTAAAATATGGGCCAATTTTAACAATGTGGGGAAGATTTAGAGGAAGACGTGCTGATAGTCTATCCAAATCAATAGTAATATGTTAGTATGTTAGTATCATCAAAATCTACCACTTAGAATAAGCTAATTTTTAACACAGGAAAATAAAACTCTTATTCTGACCAAGAAACCTAATAGGCTACCTGAGACCAGAAAGCAAAAATATTCCAAAACGATAATTCACTCTTGGGAATAACAATGTCTTGGAGTGCTAAAAAATGGGACACTGGCAACAGCTCATTTGGATTTCACTCTTTCCCTTAAAATCACACAAAGAAAAAATAAAAATTCCTATAATTTCCACACAAATAAATTAAAAAATGATTAACATATGATGGAGAAATTTGGGAACGGACAATGTAAACTCAGCTCTACATATTAAGATCGTTGAAGTGGCACATGTTTTGTTACATATATATTTATCACAATTTTTTTTTAAAAGTTTGGTAATTTGCATCAAATAAAATGCATACATTTTTAAAAAATGACTTACATAAATGAATTAAAATAACTGGTGCTCTAAATTAAAGGTATCGCTCCTACTGACACTGAAGGCTGACTTTGTTAGGAAAATAACTGAAACCTAGTTTTATTACTCTGTCATAAGATTTTACCTCCTCTCATTAAAAATGTTTTAATTGGGGTGTGTATGTGGTATTTTTCTGAGAGTGGAGCGGACAAAAATAGGAATACATATGATAGATACATATGATGTTAGCATCTCTAATGGACTTTCATCTTTCATTAAAACATATTTCATTCTGTACAACCGAACACCTCATGGCATTTGGTTCCTTAGTTTGGAGGTTTAGGGTAATGGTTTCATGGGACATCCCAGTTAACTGGCCTAATAATGTGTTTAGTGTTTCTGTTCTACCTCCTAGTTCACTGCATAGTGCCTGGGGTCTTAAAAGGTTGCACGCAGCCATCCAAGGCTCAGTTGGTCTCTATTACCTGGAGCAAGAGAGGAAAAAGGAGAGTCAGGAATAGAAGGAGGATATGGAACACGTTGCTAATTGCCTCCATGAATAAGTGCCTCCTTTGCCATGAGAACAGAACTGGATTTAGAAGAACCAGATTATGCTCGGCTACCATTACTGAACATTTTGATCAAAGATTCCAGAGAAGAATCCTGATCAAAAGGGGGAAAAATACAAAACAGAATTTCAAATTCTCATGGACTCTAGACTTTCTGGAGCCACTGAGGCTAGATGAACCCCTGAAACTACTGCCCTGAGATAATCTTTAAACCTTAAACCAAAAATATCCCCTGAAGAAATCTTAAAACCAAACAACAGTATAGCTTAACTAGTAAAAAAAAAAGTTCTGCTTTGAGCATTATGCTCCTTTAAGAACTATCTATATGGGATCAAACTGACAACAGCAACTCAAAAGACTAGACAGGAACCTTAGGGGGCAGTAAGTTTATGTTAATGGGGGAGGAAGAACTCAGAAAAGGAAGGTGAGAATGGCCGTACAACTCAAAGAATGTAATCACTGTCACTAAATTATACATGTAGAAACGGTTGCATTGGTGTACATTGTACTGTGTATATTCTCAACAAAAACAACTAAATAAAATTTAGGAAAAAAAAACACATTTCAGTTTTACATTTTGGTTGAAAAGATCTGGCTGATCTTGTTCTTAAATGAAAGCTACCAACCCTCCCTTGGATATTGGTAAGGGTAAGAGTCAGCAAAAAAGAGGAAAACCCCCGATGAGATGGACTGACACAGTGGCTTCAAACATAGCAATGATTGTGAGGATGGCACAGGATCGGGCAGTGTTTCGTTCTGTTGTACGCAGGGCTGCTATGAGTTGGAACCAATTAGACAACACCTAACAATAACAACATATATATAGAGAGAGAGACAGAGAGACAGAGAGAGTGCTCTGATATATATATATATATATATATATATATATAT